ATAAGACTAAAGTTAGAACATAGTGCATTTGTGTGTGCATGTCCACCTGGCATTACTAACAATATTGGGACCAAAACCTGTTTGCACGCTCACATTGTGAGGACTTGGCCTTCCTCATGGGGACCAGATGCTGGTCGCCACAAGGAAAGTCACTGAATATTAGGGTGATGACTTGATTTAAGATTAGGGGAAGGGTTAGGGTTAAAGTTAGGGTAACAGGCTAATGAATACATTACATCACTGAATGTCCTCACAATTATAATATGACATGACTGTGTACAAGTAGGTGAGATGTGATACCTGATCAGTCAGGTAGAGTAAGTTGGAGTTATGTTGTGGAAACAGCAAAGTACTGGCTTCACTCCACTCCTGAATGTCCCCAAACCAAACCAATATATGTGCGTCTAAATCTAGTTCCAACCACTCACCCATATTTACTTTTTGGCATGTGTTTCTGTGTACGTGTTAGTGCTCACTCTGCCTGGCAGTTGGTATATGTTTAAACCCTGCATATGTGCAACAGAATTAGTTAGGTAATCGCTCCAGCTGGGATGAATTAGGGAGCTGTTCATATAGAGTCCAGTAAAACCACACAGCAGCCTACCTGGAATATTGTTCTAATGATTTCATCAGTTACACCTCAGAAAGCAAAACCATAACTCCAACAACTGTTGCAACTGTTTTGGACATTTTGCTCTGTCTATATGTGCACTATACATCACATCTGGGCCCATGGTGCTGTCCAAAATGACAGATTTTTGAGTATTTGAGTATGCATGAATTCTGCTCGTGTCACATTCTGAAAGAATGAAATGGCAGCTTAAAGAAATGAGAAATGAAAGGGGGGAGAGAAATCAGGGAGAGTGAGAGGAGGAATTTTGGAAAAGAAACACGGGAAGAACAACAGGAAGGGAAAGTTGAGGGACCAGGCGTAACATGAAGACAGCAGCGATGGATAAATCAGCCGGCCGCAGTGACATTACAGCCCTCTAGCCTGGTAACAGTCTGCCACACTCTTCCGCAAAAACACCATTCATTTAAGGTCTAGGAAAAAAGAAAAGCATTAATGGGAGAGAACCAAAGTGAGGGATGTAGATGTGGAATAAAATAATGATGCAGAGAAGCACAAAAACAGATATTGTTATTAAGGTGGAACAAGAGAGTGGGTCAGAAAAATATGGAAGAGAGGGAAACTGATGTATCTAGAGAACGAAATGGGAAAACAGAAAAAAGCTGTTTCATAAACATAAAGGACAAAGTTCAAGGAATGCAAAGAGGAAGGAGGAAGGGGAAAGGGTTTGAAGCAAACAGATAAAAAAGAGAGGCAGTGAGAGAAACACAACAAAAGCAGGAGCTAGAAAAGGACATCAGAGGTCAGGGGTTTGTATCAGTGAGTTCAGACAAACTTGGGGCAGACCAGCAGTGACACTTGCCAGCCGCACGCCAGGGGCATGCTACTGTCTGCTTGGCAGGTCAGGTCACATCTAATATGTATAACAGGCCATGCTGCATGTATGCACACGGGGAAAATATGCACAAACCCTGCTGCTGAACTCCTAACCTTCATCTCACAGCATCCCTGCCCCATTCATCACACAGCTCTCCTTTATCTCCCAAGAAGATTTGATTAGTCCAGAGTCACACCCGGAAGAAAAGGAAAGAACAAGTACAGTGAGGCAGGGACAGTCAGAGATAAAAGCAGGAACTGGTGAATGTAATCGTAACAGTGTCAGCTTTTCTGACTAAGTGGAATGAGTTGACATCAGGGTGAGTGGCACACTGACGCAGATGACACATAAGGATACTAAATTAAGCCTGGGATGTCCAGGGAGAAGAGAGAGGTTGTAATATATATGTCAGCGGGATGTACTGTAAGCTGGCCCCTGCTCACAACCCCTTTCTCTCTTTTCCTCTGTATTTCTCTGCCTCCCACAAGCTGAGACATGCCCTGTTGTGTGCTGACTGGACCTTTGAACCTAACAGTCACCTGGGTGGTTTTGTTGGTGAGGAAAGTACAGAAGAGAGGTGGTATTGCTGCCCTTAATCTCCTTTACAATCCTCCACAGTTTATGGGAGAGGCTGTCCAGCACAGTGTCTAATCTGTAATTGTCCTCCGCCTCGTTGCCTCAGGTTAAATAGCCCTGGGTGGGGCCGCAACAGTTTAATGGATAGCTAGCAACAATCCCACGCTTGGTGGTGGCTAATTTCCCCAGGTCTGCCCTTTGAACCACGCATTGCATGAACAACACACATTTATACAATCACACAAGCATAAAAATATACACACCTTCACACCTGTGACCTTCTAATTTCTTTTCAGACAGTGTGGTAAGATTAGCAGCCATTACAACATCATTATGTGTTCGCTCAGCCATAAACACCACTGTTATCTTGTTGTGAACGGCCTAATCGATTCTCTGTTCCTTAGAGCGATAAGATAAGTAGATAGAGGAGAGAGATATGTGAGAGCGCGAGTTCTTGGCTAAGCAGCACACAGGACTCTAGATGCACATACTTTTAAAGGCAGTTCAGGTTGTATTGTCTCTTTCTGAACAGGTTTTATTCCATTGCTCTGACCTCAACCTCTTCGAGTCAAGAGGGCAGTTAACTTGCTGGTGTGTAATCACCAGCTCAGTTATTAACAGTTATTAACAGTGCAGGTGTGACCCCTGTCTGTGGTCGTGTTCCCGCACTGAGTATAGTCATGGAGGGAGATAAGGAGATGACTTGTTTTAAGTTAGCTGGAAGGGGGTGACTTGCTTAGCACAGTTAGGTTTATCTGAAGGACCGCTGTTGTGGCAGCTGTGGCGTTTTGGGCAGAATTAATTCTGCTTCAATAATCCACATTAAATGAATTAAGCAGGTGATGGTGTGAATGCGGGAAATGATGAGATCTGCATTGTGACAGAGAACACATAACATAACATAACACCGCACTTTGGGACAGCTCAAAAGACACTTCTGCATAAAGGTGCAAATAATCCTCTCACTGGAAGAACCCAAGGATTTGTAGGTGGCAACAGAGGTTCTAAAGTACACATAGTTGAGGATATCTTTATTAAAAAGGCAGATTAGGTGAGCAGAGATAGATTACTGGTAGCATGGCAGTATCACTGCGTGCACAGCTAAACTTTCTTTTAATGTTTTCAACAGGTCATTATCATCCAGTACCGAATCTGTTTCTTCACCCAAAACTCTAATGAAACCAGACTGGTTGCATTTTCTGCACACTATGGCTGTCAAACAAGGAATTGTGCTGCACACACAAGTTCTACAGTAAATCCAGTTATGTGGCAGACACCTTTGGAAAATGTAATACTAGCTTTTGAACACTGTTAACTTCAGTGATATTTTTATTTGCAACATATTTTGTACACACACGAACACATACGCGCACACACGTGAAAGGATAAAAGCATAAGAGTAAAGTAATTATTTTTGATGTCAATAAAATTGTGACATACCAAAAATCCTATATACAGGCAAAGGTTTTCTCTTTCCTTTAACATTATATGTCAGTCTCTCCAAAAGAAAGACAAGCTGTCATTTCTTTTGTCCGCATTCCTATTGACTGCATGTCTACGTTACATTCTTCCAGAAGAGTGCTGTTATCCCGCAGAAGTCCAAAGTCACCAAGCAGTAACTGCTGTAGGGCAACACTTTTGAACATTGATTGATTCAAATGTAAACAAAAAGGCTTTTCCGCCACCAAAGTTCAAACCCTGATATCAAACTAAACTGGTAGGTGTCCATATACAAGGATCAACATTAGATAGCAACTATCTGAGTTATGCTTTCATCAGTGTAAAGAGTATGAGAATAGGCCTATACCTTCTATTACTATTGGAAAAAACATCAGGCACCCACAGGTAAAACTCTGACCATCACTGTAATTTACATAGGCAAAGTTATAGAAGGTTGCTGAATACTTTAATACACAGGGTCCAGTGATTTGAAGAGGAAGACAGTGGAGACCTTGAGGGTAAGACGCTCAACATAAATGAACAGAGAACAAACAAAGTAGCATTGTTTCTACAGCCTGGAGTAACAAGGACATGTTGTGCACAAACATAAATTCAAAGCACCTACAGTAAATCTAAAAGAATAGAAAAGTGCTCCACAACCTGCTTTCACAGGTTTGTGTCTTGAAGTTTAGATTGGTACTCTCATTTTTTGTGCCCCCTTTCCTTCATCTACCACTTCTTTTCTTTTTTCACCACCATATCTGTCCTCCAATCATCTTTCTCCCTCAGATTCACCATGTTCCCTGCTAACCTCCTGCTCCTCATGATCCTATTGCTACCTCAAGCCTCCTCTGGTCGTCAGGGTGGAGACACCAGCAAGATCGACCATGGTAGGGTATCTCCGATGCTTTCCTCCTTGTCGCACCCATCAGACGGTTCCCTCCTAGAGCCCAACTTGGCTCAGACCATCCAGAGTCTTCTCCTGAACCGACTAGGCCTGCAGTCACAGCCTGACCCTCGGCCTGGAGTCCCAGTGCCCCGGTACATTCTGGATCTTTACCGTTTCCACCAGCAACAGTACCACCTAGTGGAGGACCCTTCATTTAGCTTCCCTAGCCAGCACATCCAGCAAGCCAACACCGTACGGAGCTTTCACCACAATGGTAAGTTCACTGCTACATCAGGATTTCATGCTGTCAGTGTATTTTATTGGGTGTAAAATTGCAGTTAGAATAATGTAATTGTTTGTTTGGTCTTTGAAATTTTGTTTCAGGAAAGCTGTTAATGCATTCTGCTGACTTTTTATCAGCCATAGATCAAGTGTAAAGATTCTATTTATGACAGCAGCAGATGTGTGTTGTGACTCACCATTCAACAACCTGAATGCTAAATCAGATCCATCTCTAAGACAACATGTGTGGGAGAGCACACTTAGCTATATTTCACATTGAAGAGAATCTTGTCTGGACTCTGCACTGCAGCTCTGATCATGGCCGGATTAACCTGTAAGAGGGCCCCGGGGCACACACACACCTACAGCCACTTGTACAAGCATCCTGTCAACTCCAAGTTCCCATTAAGTCCAGTGCAACCAGTTCTACTGTGGAGTAATACTTACTTCTTGTTAGTTTGTTCTAATTTGATTAACCAACTTTATTAGGAACAGGCGTTATGTGGGGATATTACAGACTAAAATGATAAAACTTAAAACTAGATTTTAACACAGGGCTCCTAAAGCCAGTTGTAAATCAGTGAATGCATCCTAGGGGCTTTGTACAAATGAAGGTTTGAACTGGTTCTGTTTACTGGAGGAACATAACAGCTTCTAGCAAAGGTTTGGAAAGTTGGAATTTACAGTACAGTGTCAACATCAACTAGCCCCATAGCGTTCTACTTTGGTAACTTAAGTTCGCTTCTGATTTAGCAATTTTCCTGCTCTAAAAAGATCTTCAGTCAAATAAAGCCTAAATCCACTTTTACACCCCTTTTTTTCCTCTCCCTTTTTGTTTCTCTTCCTCTCAGAGCCCCTTGGAGGCAGAGGTATAGCAGAGGATCATAAGAGGGTTCACATCTCCTTTGATATCTCCTCCATCCCTCATGATGAGAGAGTGCTCTCTGCTGAACTTCGGCTCCTCCGCAGTGACGGAGCCTCCCTAGGCCCTGAGCCCCACAGACTAAACCTATACCTCTCTGAGCACCATGAGGACCCTGAGCCCACCCTGCTGGAGACAAAGTTACTCACCACTGGCCTTCAAAGCCATAAAGCAGCTGCCTTCTGGGAGGCTTTTAGCCTAAGTGCAGAACTCCTCCATAAAGCCCTGGCTGGGAGTGGCAGCCTGGGTTTCCTCCTGGAGGTCAGGCTTGAGAACAACACCTCCTCGCTCCCTAACCAGAGTCTCTACTTTGTTGCTAGTGAGGAGGAAGCCAAGAAAAACAAAGAGGGACACCTAAGGGTATGCAGGTCCTTGGGGCAGGACGAGCACAGCTGGGCCCAAGAGAGACCCCTCTTGGTGACTTACAGTCACGATGGTCGTGGAGAACCTTTAGTCAAACATAGCAGGAGGATCCCAAGCATTGGTCAGAGGATGAGAGGGAAAAAAGGGACAAAAGATAGGGGCGGGAACAGCAGCAAGGGCCACATCAGAAATCAAATCTGGGGGAGAGACAAAAAAAAAACTGGGTATTCAGTGCAGGGCTGGGGGGCTGACAAAGGTGGGGTCAGTTGGAGCGAACGCGGAAGGGTGAAAAGGAATGGAGGTCGTGCTGCAAAACTGAAGCGGCTTTCCCGTAACAGATGCCGCCGTCATCCTCTATATGTAGATTTCAATGACGTGGGCTGGCACAAGTGGATCATTGCACCCAGTGGCTATGACGCCTTCTTCTGCCTGGGAGAGTGTCGCTTTCCTTTGGCCGACCACATGAACTCCTCTAGCCACGCCATGGTGCAAACTCTGGTAAACTCTGTGAATGGAGCAGTGCCCCGGGCTTGCTGTGTCCCCAGCTCCCTGAGCCCCATCGCCCTGCTCTACCTGGACCCTCAAGACCGAGTGGTACTGAAGAATTACCAGGACATGGTGGTGGAAGGCTGTGGATGCCGGTAGAGGGCTCGAGAACTCACCTAGTGAAAGCCAGACATGGACAAAGGGGCATCGAGGGAATAGGAGAAAAACAGAAGCATGAAAAGGCAGATAGCGGGAAGAAAAGACTATAGAAGCCAGCTAACTGCAAGCATACAGAAAGACTGTAGAGACAAATACAGTGTGAGAACGAGAAGTGAAAAGGAGGGAGAAAAGGGAAACCATAACTGCAGCTTAATTATCATTATCAGGAGCAACAAAACTTTCAGATATAGAAAGAGAAGCAAAAGAGACAGAAAAAGAAACAGACATAATCTATCACAACTCGATATATGACAATATAATAAGGCATAAGACAATGGCCAAGCAGAAATTTGGTCAACACAATTAAACTGCCAGGAACTACTTTTCACTTTTTCCCATTTAACGATGATGCAGCTGTTTACACCATCAAGTTACTAGCTACTGTTTTTTCTCTTGAGAAAGAGACGCTTAAACATCAGAAGGTGTCTATTCAATCTTCACGTTTGCCACTCATCTCATTGTCACATGACTGTCTGACAGGCACATGTGATTAAGCTGTTGTAAACACTCAGAGTAGGCAGTCTGGACATGCATTTCAAGCTCTTGAGAAGAGCTGATATGATTCTGTAACTTCCTGATGGACTTAATGAGAATCAAGAGCATTAGCACTGCGACGATGGCACCAGCATGGCATCTAAACTTTGTGTGACAAGTTTGTTTCTACAGTATTGGAACCAAGAAGTAGGATGCCTCTGTTTTTATGAGCGTTAATATAATAATAAGTCTAGCCCTTACAAGCACCCCTACATCACAAGCTATTTAAAACCACAACAATAATGCTGAGGAACTATTATGCTATTGTTTGAATGTACCACTATCACTATTATTTAAAAGAAAGAGAGAGACTTTTTGTACATTTATTTTGTAGACGTGAAGAAAATCCAAGTGATGGTTGTCTTGTGAGTAAACATAATTCCACTGAATGGCAATTCTAACTTAAAAGACACATTATGTATTTAAATATCACTAACATGGTGTATTTAATCTTGAAAATATTTAAGATTCCTGCAGTCAATGAAATATACAGCAAACTGAAACCTGCTGTTCACATGAAATAAGTTATAGTCGCTTTACATTCATGCAGATGTTCAGTGAAATAACGGTCTGTGTTACTTCAGCGTCCCACCTTGTCATTGCACGCATGACCGCAGTAAATGGTGTTGCCTTTAAAAAGTTAAACTAACAAGTTAACTGAAAGCTCGATGTCCAGCAGCTATTGAAGTGTATAACAACAGGTGGCTTTGCTAGATGTGTCTGCATGTGTCAAAAAACGGAAGATGGTAATAAAACTGGGACTTCAGTGCCTTTCAAACGGGGGCTTTTAAAGTGTTCTTTGCTGAGCTTAGTAGTTGTTTTTCAGTGTTGTATTTTTCTCAGCAAATGGAAACATCAGCTTGTAATGTGTTCAACAATATACCTCTAATAAACAAAGTAGGCAGCACGACTGTCCTGTGGCTTTTTCTTTGGATTGACAATTTTTTCCTTTTTGCAGTGTTTGCTTTTTTGCTTTCTCGGGGGCCTAAGTGCATGAAAAAAGCCTTACATTCTGTATATACATGCTTCCACAGCCTATAGTGGTTTATTGCCATGTTTGGGAAGAAAAAGCAGAAGTCCCATAGCGAGCACAGCGCTAAACAGATGTGTGTATATGATACTGTAGCTAAGGAAGAGGCTTCAAATTCTCACAGTGAATCTGCAGCGGGTTTTGAAAGTGAGGCGTACAATCAAAGGCAAATGTCTTCTCCACATTGCACACCGCACAACACCAGGGAACCACTGTATCACCTCACACTACCTCCCATGAACAGCACACAGTGATGCCAGATATCACAAATAGAGTGAGACCAGCTTCCAAGTGAGAGAAGCCCACAACCTGTAGAGGGAAGGAACATGTGATCTGGTTTTCAACTGGTATTGGAACTTGGATTCATCAGCGCATCCTGGGAATACCTGAGTCTTTTCTTGGGATTTTCTGAGCTTCTTTCCATAAATAAAAGCTTGATTTTAAACACAGAATTCCAAGTAATTACTTAAAGTTTTGTTTATTCCTTTGTTACCATATTCATTAGAGTGTTTTGTTTTTGTTCATGTTTTGACTAGAGCGGCCATTTGTCTTAAAAGTACACTTTAAAGAAGAAAGCCTATTCCACAGAGGTGACCAGATTTACAGGTACACTGGAAGAATTTTTTTTTACGTTATGGGGTGGCACAGTGGTGCAATGATTAGCACTGCTGACACACAGCAAGAAGGTTTTGCATTTGAACCTCACAGCCAACTGGAGCCTTTCTGTGCCTTTCCTCAGGTAATTCAACTTCCTACCACAGTCCAGAAACATGCAGGTGGGGTTGACTCTAACAGTAACACCCACCTGATGCAAACTCAATGATATTACCATAATAACAGCATTTCAAAGTTGGACTATGTCTGTAATAGCTATGTGGTAATCTTAATGAACTTTCCAGAAGACATTTTTGTTTCAGTGCATATAACAGTCTTCAGTGTGCAAACAGACTCATCAGTATCAGTATCTCGATTCCCAGTATTCCAGCCTTATATACAGTACATACATTTTGTTGCTGGCTCTGGAGAATGCTGATATGCCATTGGATGTGCATTAGAAAGGTCAGTGTAGTTCAAAATAACTGAACTTTGAACACAAATCCTGAAAAAAAATTGGGCACATCACTATGCCCAGGCCACCACTCTTGCCATAAAAAACAATGGTGTTGCTCTGCACAATGTTACACAGGCGTTTTTAATGTGAGACGACCCCTGGCTGTCCTGCTGGAGGAACCTGCTCAGAACTATACAGCTGCATTTCAGCTTTATTTGTCTGCATATTTTGCCTCTCATCAACAGGCAGTAGTAGACTGGTGGTGTGTGTGTGGCCTTGTTTTTCTATACTCATGCAGCTCAAAATCCATGAGTTACTATCTTCGCAGGGGCCAGAGGCTGGTCCCCATGACATACTCAAATTTTACTAAAATGATCGGGTGTGAGGACATTTTGGCCGGTCCTCATTTTCTGAAACAGCTTTTTGAGGGTTAAGACTTGGTTTTAGGTTTAGGTTTAGGTTAGGCTTAGGTGAAGGGTTATGGTTAGCCATTTAGTTCTGACCAAAACCTGTTTGCACACTCACAATGTATGGACTTGGCCTTCCTCATGGGGACCAGACGATGATCCTCATCATGTAACCATGAATTTTATGGTAACGACATGGTTTAAGGTAAGGGTAAGTTTGATATTAGGATATGGTTTAGGTTAGGCAAGTAGTTGTTATGGTTAAGGTTAAGGTTAGAGCAAGTCTCCAGGAAATGAATATACTGTAAGTCAATGTAAAGTCCCCATGAGGAGTGAAAACAAACGTGTGTAAAAAAGAGGTAAAGATGTGCACATAAGATGAGATAGGATCTCATATTCACAGATGATGTATGCCTCTCCAGAGGTTTGGATTAGTGTCAGTACCTTTCATCTCATGGCCTGTAACATGTCATGGTTCACTTACTGGCTGAGTGAAAACCTCTGGCCTTTTCCCTCCATGAACCCTGCTCATTCCCTCACCTTCCCAGATGCTCATTTTTAAGTGTTATCTCACACAGTGAAGTGAGTGGGGTGGCCTTTTAGTTTATGCATTATTATGTGCTACTGATTAAATAATAAAAAATTCAATGATATGTGTGTGTGTGTGTTGGGGCACGAGGTTGTTCAAAGCATGTACAGCATAACTGTCTGACTCATGTTTCCTGGCTTGTTTTGTGATATTATTCTTGACTAAAATGAAAAAAATGTAAAAATTGGACAGAGCAGACATCATGAAACCATAATATCCTTTTAATGTCTTCACTGCCAGAATCCTGCTGGTGTGACAGTCATTACAAACTCGTGCTGTGCAGCCAAGCTTTGTTCAAATCCACAGAAGCTTATTTCAGATCCTAGTGGTGATCCCAGAGTTTCCAAAGAGAACTGGGTAGAAAACGATGCTCAAGACATCTATACCATTTCTATTTTTGATAGAATGGTGCAGCCCTGAAAAACATGGAATATAGAGTTATAATATTTAAGCAGTATAAATATCTCCAGAAGCCTATATCAGATTTCCTTGTTTTGTTTTGGGGTGTTGTACATTAGAACAGAGACACACCTTGATTTCTGCCTTCATCACGACTGTTTACTGTCTTTTTCACATAACATGTTTTCTGTCTCCTACCTCTCACAGGTGCTCTGGTTGTGAATTCTTAAGAGTGATGTTGTGGAGCACAAGACAGGATATAACCACAATTATCATTTCTAGTGTGTAGCCTTTTTGCTCTGTGGCATTGAACTGTTTAGTGCCAACTGCAGTCTAGAAATATTCAGGCTTAATGTGTGATTTAGCTCTTCTCATGGATGAAATGCACTGACAACACAAAGATAAAAATCTGTCATCTGTGGGAGCAGCAGGGCTGAAAAAAATTTTACTCGTCCCAAGCAAAACCACTGGATGGCCTACTTTCCTGTCAACCTGCTTCCTACTTGCGCATACTCTGCCCTTGCACTCATTGCACAAGCCAAGAGTCTCTCACAAACAGAGACTGTTGTTACAAGCCAGGCCCCGCTGGAAGAGCCCAGACTTCTAAGGCTAGTTATCAGCTATGAGCTAGGGCTAAAGCAGTTTAGCCATCAACCAGAGGTTCCCAACTACGGTTCAGGGCTGCAGGTCAGGGTGGGTAATACAGCATTCAAGAAAGGTACAACTAAAAAGTAAAATCTGCTGCAAGAAGTAAAATCAGAATTAACATTGGTGTGGCTTTTGAACAGTGACGACAACTGAAAAGTGATGCCATGGTGGCCGAATTTCAGTTGGTCAGGTAATTGTCAGTTTTGTTTTGTTTGTGGACATTTGTTATTTACCTGAACTCTATAAGTTGTAGTCAGTCAGTGTGCGTTGTGTTTTGGAGGAGTGGCTTTGGAGAGAAGTTGGAACAAAAGGGTGGGAATTTTGTTTGGCTACTTTCAAAATCCAGCTTCCTCTCGCGGTTTTTTTCCAGGATCACCAACCCTACATTTAAACTTCCAATCAAATCATTAAAATTCTTTTATTCACCAGAAATAGCACTGTGAACATGATCTACAGTGATTTGATTTTTCTCTTCTATGTCGTTGCAATTTTAAAATGTGTCAGCGAATGCTTCTGTTGAACTTTGGAGCATTCCCCAGTTTTTTTATAACATATACCCACCAGTAACAACTGTTCAGCATCAGCCATGTCACTTGTGGATGGCAGGTGTGGTGTGGGAATTGCGTCGTGTTTCGCCGCACTGCAGTCTGAGTGTAGAATTTATGAGGACTGGCCTGCCACTCTTTTACCGCCCACTGACAGAACTGAGATGAGCTACAGACGGAGGCAGCACTGTTCGTCCCTGGTGTCACCTGCAGACTGACAGCTTGTTCCCTACCTGCCTGGTCCACGGAAACCACAATACACCCACCTCCTTGTTGGACTGCACTGATAAACAGAAGCCAGGGTGACAGTGATATACCACCCGCAGAAAGACCAGGGCAATCATCAGAAACAAGTTTCAATCACGCTAACCCCCTAAGTGCACTAAATTGCAGTAGATACATTTAGTGTGTCACACAGTAAAATGATAGTGTCTCAGATCACTGTAGCAGATGTGGATGTATCTAACAGTTGTCCCGCTGCTGCTGCTGGGTTGGTGGTTTCACTGAAAAATAAAACAGATAGCGAGGGTTTAGGGTTTTGCCTCTGAGCTTCAAAGACAGACTCATGCTGAAAATGAACATGTAAAATTTAACCTCTGGGTCGCAGAGTGAGGCAGGTGCAGCACATCAAGACGCTGGGCGGGCAAGCCGGAGGCAGCGTGACACGAGCCAGGACAGTGACCCCTGAAGCCAGGGAGAGTAGCGTTGTCTGTTTGTCTTTCTCTCTTTTTCCAACTCTGTGTGCATGTGTGTTTAATATAGCAGTCCAGAGGTTGCATAAGGACCAGCTGTTGTCCCACATTTATCCCCTGTACGTTATATCTGACTGAAAATGTATGCAAGCACCAGATAACATTTTAATCTAAAGGGATTCTAGTTTAAACAGTGAATAAATCAACAGCAGTCTGTACAGTATATCCCATATGCACATCCATTCTTCTGTCACCTGTCCATCTTCATATTATCTCCATTTTCCCTCCTCCTATTCCCCTACAGGATGAAAAATGATGTTTTTACAGGTGTTTCACAATGCTGCGTCCTTGCTTGAATGGAAATCACATTAATTCCTCCATTTCTGCTATTCCTACCTTCTCTCACTTCCTCTGGTTTTCTTTTATCGGCACTTGAGGTATTGTATTCAAGGAAAAGATACCATTGTTTCCTCATTGTCCTTAATCATTCAGAACACAAGACCCAGACCAGCAAGGTAACAGTGGCATAAACATATCCAT